GAAGCCGCCCGCCCGCCCGCGCCGCAGCCGCCCGTCCAGCACCCGCCCCGGCCGCAGTCGCCGGTGCAGCCGGCCCATCCGAACCTCCCTGCGGTGCAGCCCCACCCGGCCTCGCAGAGCCTCTCGCAGCCGCTCTCTGCCTACAACAGCAGCAGTTTGAGCCTCAACAGCTTAAGGTAGGCGAGCAGAAAGGCGTGTGTGGTGAAGCCCTGTGTCCTTGAGAGCTTCCTGCCTCGTCCTGATGCTGTACGGTGCCTGGAGGAGGTGGAGGGGAATTAGCTAAAGCAGAGAAGTGACAGCACATCCTGTCCCATCACTGGGAAATAAAGGGGACTTTTGTGGATTTGACCTTAATTCCTTCCCTGAAATCAGCCAGGATCTAGTGTTCCCATAAACGCTACTTATTCTTCAGCACTTTTTGGGGGACATTTTATTCAATACAGACTAGGGGGAGAAAATCCCAGTTGTTGCAGGTGGGGCTGCTCTCTGGAGGCAGACTCACGTCTTTTACCCTCCCATCCCTGTAAACATCTTCTGCTTTCTCCAGCTACCCCCGTGCCCTAGAGCAGGACGTGTGCCACAGCTGCTGTTGGCTTTGCTGACAGCCTGGCGCCAACAGTCTTGTGCCAGTGGCTTTACAGCTTAATTTTGTCCTGCATTGCTGACACCTTGTAGTCTTCAATGTTCTTCTCCTCACCTGGCCATCGTGAGATAAAACTTCACCTTTCACAGGGGATAACAAAGATGAGTACAGAGATTAAACAGTGTGTTCGCAGCAACCTGTGATGTCTCTGTGAGTCAGGGACCTCAGGCTTCCCCTACTCTGAGCTAATGCTCTCAGCACTGGGTTGTCTTTCCCCAAATCTGAGCTTCCAGCAGGCTGATGGTGACCTTCTAGACCTGGTGAGCCAGCAGTGTGGTTGCTTCATGGCTTGACGAAAGACTGGGAGATGTTTAAGACTTTATTTTTAACCAAACTGGTATTGCTTGTCTTTAAAAGTCACTGCAGTAGACAGATGTTGCTACTTTAAATACTGACAAGTAGAATTAAGCACTATGTGAATATATTTTAGACACTCATTAGCAGGAAATGAAACCTGAAAAATTGCAACTGGTGTAGTCACAAGTATTTATTTTGCTGATTTGTCTAATCTCTTTGTGTTGTGGGGGAAGAGAGGCATTAACTGTACGAGAAGCCTATATCTGTTGTTACCTTCTCAACTTCGTTTCACATTGTCTGTCATCTTTCATCTTACTAAGTCATGGCAAAAAAAATGAAGCTTTTATTAATGCAGTGATCACTGATTCTGAGCTTCATTTGCCTGAAAACATGAATCAGAAGCAGTCATGTAGAAAGGACCTGATAATTAAGTAATGAATGCACAGGGCTGATTACTCCTTTGTGTGTCATTCCTGTGTTATTGGAGGACAGAATATCAGCCTCTTACAGAGAATATGTCTCGGGATTTAGAGTGGAGAGACCACGGGAAGTAAAAGATACTAGAATAAGGGTCAGCAGATGGTTGGAGAAAGGAGTGGCACAGGGGTATTGCTAGAAAAGCAGAACAGTCACTTGCATTTGCAGTATATAACTTAGATGAGTAGTGTGTTAACGTGAGCTGTGCATAGCTTGGTGGGGTTGTGTTTGATGTGTATGTTTGGAGCTTTTCTCTCTTCCATGCAATGCTTAATTGCTTTTCTTTTCATTAACAGCAGCAGCAGAAGCAGCACTCCTGCCAAGACTCAGGCTCCTCCTCCACACATATCTCACCATCCCTCAGCCTCACCGTTCCCCCTCTCTTTACCCAGCCACAGCCCGCTGCATACCTTCACGCCCACCCTCCAGCCCCCCGCACACCCACATCACCCCAATATGTTTGCCCCTCCTACGGCTTTGCCTCCTCCACCTCCATTGACGTCAGGGACACTGCAGGTTCCAGGACACCCAGCTGGTAGTACTTACTCAGGTAAGAGACAGACGGATCATGGCTTCAGCATGTCTAGTGCAGTGTAGGAAGCCAAGTCTCCAGATTTAGTCAGAATAATTCTTTTTGGTGATGATGATTCCATTTGATGATGGATGTTGGTTGGGTAGATGCTGTACTCATCGTTGAATGGTTTCTAGCGATGTCAAAACCATACCCAATGACCTTTCTTCTGCTCTGGGAATAAATATTTTTGGAAGGCTGTGCTTTTTCCATGTCTTTTTTCATTTTTTTTTTCTACCCATGGTAAAAACACACTAGAGTTCATAACGTGCCCACGCAGAACCTGTGACCCCCTTAGCGAATGTCTTTGCTGCCGTTGTGCTCTGTGCTCAGTGTTGTTTCCCTGGCTCGAGGGAAGGTCTCCAGTGGCTGTGCACACAGTGAGCTCGTGTATGTGCAAGATTGTGTGTGGGGGGTGAGATGAAGAGATTTTTATCAGTAGAGAAAATTGTGCTCTTTTATACTTCAGCTGTGGGGAGATTTAACATGTCTGTTCCTCCCAGGTCCCCGAGAGGGAACTAGGGAAAG